TCGGAAGCCCCTCGGCTGCAGTGGCCGCCGCAGCCATGGCCCCCGGGCAAGCCGGCCAGCCTGCCTGCACCCGCTTCCGGGTGTGCCCGGACCCCGCCCCCGCAGCTTGTTCATTGGGCCAGAGACTCCTGGAGCTGCTGGCGATTGGACCGAGCGCTCGCCCGTCTCAGTTACGTCTCCGCTCTCTTAAAGGGACCGGCCTTTCCTGCCCTGGACGGGGCGGACCCGGCGGCTCTCTGGCGTTTGGAAGTTTTCGAAGGATGACATAATATTCCCCATCCCTCTAGGGTTCTCATTTTAGGTTCTTCGTCGAGGGGCTTGTGTTTAGACCCCGAAATCTGTCCACACCAAGAACATCTAGACGTTCTCCGCAGCCCCAGTCCGCCCCTCACACCACGGGCCTCCCTTCAATCCTTCCAGGCGCAGCCCATGAAACACAAGCAAACCAGCATAGACCGTCAAAGCCAAAGGGTTTATTACAGGTACGGACAGTGTGCGCCCGCCACACCGCGCCCCACACCCCCAGGCCCCAGCGGCTTCCCCAGGCGGCCGTGGGGGCTGCCCACAGCCCGGTCCCCCCACTCCCAGGGAGGTGCTCCAGCCAGAAGCATGCAGGGGGAGGGCTTCCCCTCACCCCTCCCCTCAAGAAGTGGCATTTACAGCTGGAGGGGGGAGGAGAGAGGAAGACAGTTTTGAGCTTTGACGCCCCTCCCATAAAAAGCCTTCGCGGATGCGGGGCGGGGGGAGGAGGAGGTCGACGTTTTGCAAAAATAAACTAAGTCAGGAATTAACCGCATGGCTCTGAGGCGGCGGAGTGCAGGGGCTAGGACCCCTTCTCTCCCCCCTCCCAGACAGAGATCAAGGCAGCATTGGAAGTGAGGTAAAGGCGGGGAGGGGGTGTCCCCTCCCTACCCCCTAGCACCCTGGATGGCCCAGGGGACCTCACCAGCGCCCCCGTGCCCATCCCTAGGGCGGAGAGGGGGACAGGAGTTTTCGCCCCCACCACCCCAGCTTCTTGGGGCCGGATCTGCGAATGGGGCAGGGGGCGTGGCTCAACTGGCCCCCTACCCGCCCCCACCAAACTCAGTTATTGCATAAAAATAATGGAGCCCCAGCACCTGGGGTGGGAGTGGCGAGCGGGAAGGGGCCGAGATATGGCTATAGGGGCAGCAATCCCCCACCACTTCTTGGGGTGCAGAAGTCCCCCTCCTTTCCAGTGCCCGTCATGGCGCGTCCGTCCGCTGTGTTGGAACTAGGGGCTTCCGCCCCCGAGGAAGAGAAAGTGTCTTTGTGCCCACAGTGCGGAAAAGAGGGGCGGGGAGACGTGTCAGGCCCC